ATATAGATATAAATTTACCCAATATTAAAATAATTCTTTTATAGTTGTTCCACAATTAACAAAAAAGTATCACAAGGATTTATCTTATAAGCTACTGTATATCTTCATTGATTTTTCTTGCCCCTTTAGGAAGTTTCAATGTCATGATATAATAAAGGGTACTTGTAATGAATATCCTTATATATACATCTTTCATATTTGCTTCTTTTTTGTTTTCCTATGGAATAAGATGCTTGAAATGGGAATTCTGGGCCAAAAGGAAATATGTGGTGGTGAAAGAGATCTTTAAAATATCTGGCAAACAGCCAAGTTGTTTTTAATAAAGAATATACACTTATATTACCAAAGTAGTAGCCAATGATTTACTTTTTGCTATATACACCAAAATTTAGTGTTCTTTTTGATGCACTATAAACTATGATATAATATTGATTCCTTCTTAATTTGAATTTATATAATTAATAATGGCATTGATGGTGTCAATATTTCTTGGTCAGCTGTATTTTTTGACTTTCTGAGTTTCTCTTTATCCAGGCAGAAGATGCATTCTATTCCCAGACTGTATTTATCAAGAAATAAAAGAAACACAGTTTTAACACAACCATAGTGTTAACACAAATTGGTGCCTATTTGCCTGAAACAAGGAAACTTCTGTGAGTTGAGAGAAGTAAGTCTCTCACTTGTGGTTTGGGACAGCAAGCAGTCACTATGATGACTGCTGATTTCTCTATTGAAGGATCCAGGACATTTGTGAAAACGCAGTGACCTATACCAATCCTTCTTTCTCAAAACTTGAAAGTAGAGAGACCTTGATATTTGGTTCAGCATGACCCCCAAAACTACTGTGTGAGCAGAAAAGGACAAGAAAATACCAGAAATGAGATTACCTAGAGAGGGGATTTTAGGCTGGTAATTCAGGCTCCACAGAAGTGCATTTTTTTTCCGGGGTTGAGGAGGTTTCTGCATAATATGTACCTAATGTAGGCAGCTTTTCAGACCCAAGAGCAGTGGTCCAGTAGGTTGTACTTTTGAAAATATAATTAAGAAAAAAAAAAAAGAAAGAAAGATAACATGAACTGGCTTTTTGTGCATGGGTCAGCAAATATGAACTGCACAGAAACAGTAAGCACATCCCTGTAGACAAGTGTCGTTTGTTGAGTTGAGCAGGACCAGTCGTCTACAATGACACTTTATACTGGTGAGAAGCAGGGAAAGTTTTGGTCACATGGGATTATACCTCTTTCTTCATTTTATGCTTGGAAGTAGTCCTGAAACCTTTTGATTAAATCCCAAGGAACTATAAGAATTTTTTTTCCTGTATTTCTTTTTTCCCCCATTTATTTAGTAGTGGGAGGAGAGGCCCTAAGGGGAAATAATTCAAAGTTTAAGATATGAATTGGAAAGAAAGAAAGAAAAGAAAGAAAGAAAGAAAGAAGAGAAAAGAAAAGAAAAAAGAAAAGAAAGAAAAGAAAAGAAAAGAAAAGAAAAGAAAAGAAAAGAAAAGAAAAAGAATTTGTACTCGGAATTGGTGAAACATATTATGTGCTTTATGCAATGTTTTATCATTTTTAACCTGTCTTTTAAAGTTGCAATCCTCATTTTTTGCCTACAGATAAACAAGTCTTTTTCTACATGAAAGAATTTAAATCTTTACTTGCTTCTAGTGAAATCATGTTTGAGATTTAAAAATATTCATGCAGATCTCTTGGTCTTTTATCTTCTTTTTGTCTTTGATACCATGATTAGTTAGTCCTACCCTCTTCGCCCATATTATAGGAACAATTCTTTCCTCTTTGTCATTTGAAATGCCTGTGTTTACACTGCTATCATTAATGCATCTGAAACATATTTTAGGGCACTTGGGTTCCTATCATGCACAACATGCTTCACCCTCTAATTACTGAATTGGATGCCCTGACACCAATGACTTTAGAAAGCCGGGGAGAGGGGCACCAGAGTGGCTCCCTGCATGGAGCCTGCTTCTCTCTCTGCCTGTGTCTCTGCCTCTCTCTGTGTGTCTTTCATGAATAAATAAATAAAATCTTAAAAAAAAAGAAGCCATGGGAAACGATAAACTTGAAATATACCTAAAGAAATTAGCAATTAGGTCAATATTTAGAACTAATATTACTGGGCCTACATTTACTTTGTTAATTGAAAACTGGATTCAGGTTAGGTACCAGTTCAGAACACTTTATCTTTATAAACCTGAAAGTAAAAGGCCATGGTTAAATGTGAATAACAGCTATTTCTCAGAGGGGGGTTTTCAGTGTTCTTCAAATTTTTCTACATTTTCAAAATTTTCTTTAAAGAATACATTTTAAAAAAATCAGAACTCCCCTCTCAGTGCCTCCTTGAGAATAAAGAGTACTACTCATAAAAAGAGCTGAAAATGAAGAAAAGGGTAAGATAGAGCCAAACATGTTCCTGAGTTCTAGAAACACAGAGGCAGCCAGAATCTCTGGTGAAGTTCAAGTGAGGCAGGACCACTCAGGTGCACAGATGCGGGGTGGCCGCCGAAGCTATTTTTCAAGGCAGAGATCCCTGAAAGATCAGAGAGTCAGATTAGGAGAGAAATGAACTTGACATACAGTCGATGCTTGGCATTTGTAGATTGTCTTGGCAAACTTGCCTCATCCCCAAAACTTCCTCGGTAGCCCCCAAATCAACAATAATGACACGTGTCCTAGGTGGATAAGCACAGAAGGACCAAAAATCTGAGTCAGCCTGCCTCCCCCGTGCCCAGCTGAGGCTCAACAGAGTGGAGCCATGCCTTGTCTCAGCTCCCCTCCTGTAAATGAGGGTGCTCTTCAGGGTCGGTTTTTGTGCCAGAGTTTTCACATTTGCGGGGCTTTGGGTTGGTGATTTTGCCATTTAGAATTTGGAAGCAGGATGAAAGAAGTGCTGCTTCTCCACACAAGAAGGCTGTGATGTACCTCACAGAGAAAATGAGTTCAGAGCAGCTCTGTCCAGGCATCAGTTTCAGAGCTGTTGGCTGTGAGTTCAACGTGATAATGAATTATTGATACATGTTAAATAAGGTGTCTTTAAACAGAAATATACATAAAACAAGGTTATGGGTTGATTGGTTGGTAAAAAAGTAGTGACCAGAGGACCAAAGGAACATAATCCTGTGTTTTCCCTAGGAGTAATGGGGTGGTATCCACTAATTCAGTGTTTGTATTAAGCTTATAATATATGACTCCCGTGATAAAGAAGAAACAGCTGTAATTATAACTGTAATTATCTGCTTAATTCAGTAGATCTCAATCCTTGGCTACACAGTGGAATCCCCTGGAGGGAGAGCATTTTGTAAAATATAGATACCTCCAATCATTCCAGGCCAAGGGAAAATGAACCTGGGGAGGTTAAAGCCTCTGCACTGCCATGTTTTTAAATTTTCCCAAGTAATTCTAGAAATTGTTATTTTCTACCAAAATTACAGCTCAGAAGCAGAAGGCTTCACAAGCCTTTACAAGGCTCTTTTTGTAAAGACCTTTTAGGATGAAGACATCAGGGGGGATGTTTATCTTTTCTTTTCTGAACTGAGCTCTTCTACCCTTCTTGGCTCATGACGCCATCTTGAAAATGCACCTGCTAAAGATGGTGACGTGGCATGCTATGGTGAAAGAAACTGTGTCCCCGATTACCTCAGGATTACAATCGCCAGCTGTTGCATTCTCTACAGATGTCTATTATACAGGAGGAAAAGAAATCTGTATATAGTAAGCCCCTGTTTTCTGTTATCTGCACCAGACTATTTCTCAGCTTCCACCCCTAACCTCACAGGTCCCTTATCATCATCTGCCTTGAGACCATCATAATCAAATTCGTTATGCCCTTAATACCTATTTGCTGCTGTTTACTCCAACAATCCCAGGACTATGACATTTTTCCTCTTTGGTTACACTGTAAAACCAAGGGACACTATTCAAAACTATTTCCGACCCTTCTCCAGCTCCTGAAAACTTTGTGCTGTGCACTCAGGAACTCAACCAGTAATAAAATCCTCCTTATTCCCCATGTCTCCTCGGCACATGCCTTTTCCTCTCTTGTCCCCACTATAACTTGACTAACTCCAGAAGGCATTTGTTCTTTGAACTTCATTAAAGTGCTGGCTATGCTCTCTTTTGCTCTCCTCATGCCTGGTTTGAAGGTGCCCTAGATTTTATTATAAGCAGTAATTTCAATGTCTCAATAATCTCAGTACCAAGGATCTCACTCTTAAAGCATTGCTTCCTACCTTACCAGTGACTGTGTCCCTGACAAAAATCTCTGGTGCCACCAGAATCTAGGGTCCTTTTAATTGTGTCCTAAATCTCATTTCCTCATAAGTCCCCCTACAATCCATCTTCCCCACACCCCTCACCTCACATTCTTTTATCCTGTCACCTCACAGTGAAGCTGCCACTTTCTGGTCAATGAAGCTTTCTGCCACTTGCATGGGTGAGCTGAAGAAGGCTGGGAGAAACTGAGTCTAAATGCAGAGCCATTCCCGTCAAGGAGGCCCTGAGAGCTTCAGGCAATGGTGCAACACTTTCCCTCCTGCCCTCCTGACACTCTCATCTCCTAGATGACTACTCGCCTCCAACCTGCAATACCTCTTCCCCCATTTCATTCTCAGCCATCAACCTTGCTACCTATGTCACAAAGAAAACAGAAGTAGCCAAATAACTAAGTGGGATAATGGATTCAAAGTGCTGTTAACCTAGAACTGTACCCACAACAAACCCATGAGAGTGAGTGACAAAAGAAGACAAATTTTAGGCCAACAAAAATTGAGAAAATATTAAAATATACTTAAAATAGAAAAAATAGATATAGATGAAAAACTGAAAGATGGACTAGAAAAAAGTAAATTATGGATAAGTATAAACAAATACTGGGTATACAAAATAGTAATATTTACTTTTCATTTTTCTATAACCCTCAAAATAATAGAAATGGGATGCATTGCTTCCAAACCAGTAAAAGGGAGGAGAGGAACAATTATTTCAAAATAATTCAAGAAAGAAGAAAATTAAAAAAGGAATATAGTAAATAGAGGTATAAAGTACATACAAATTATTATAAATAAATCCAAGCATATGAATAATCACAATGAAATCAAACACTTCAAATAACAAAAATAATGATTTTAGAAAGGAATAAATATCCAATTACATTCTGTTTACAAGATGTATTTTAAAAGCATAATTCTGGCCGGCCTGGGTGGCAGTTAGGCATCTGACTCTTGGTTTCAGCTCAGGTCATGATCTCAGGACTCTGAGATAAGCCCTGCCTGGGGTGTGGGCATGGAGCTCGTCTAAGATTCTCTCTCTTCTTCTCCCTCCTCCCCTCCCTCCACGCTCTCTTTCAAAATCTACAAACATAAATACATAAATAAAGGCCAAAAATGTTTTAAAACATCAAGATAAAAACTACATGATAAAGGGCAGCTCTTGTGGCTCAGCGGTTTAGCGCTGCCTTCAGCCCAGGACCGACCCTGGAGACCCAGGATGGAGTCCCACATCCGGCTCCTTGCATGGAGCCTGCTTCTCCCTCTGCCTGTGTCTCTGCCTCTCTCTCTCTCTCACACACACACACACACACTCTCTCTCTCTCTCTGTGTCTCTCATGTATAAATAAATAAAATCTTTTTAAAATATTACATGATAGGCTAATATAAACAAAGGGGAAGTTTGTAATCTAGTATCATCCAAAAAGCATTGTTTAAGCCAAAAGCAATGCTAGAAAAGAGTCTCATTAAGGCTCTATTTACAAAATTTATAATAAATACTAAATATAGCATGCATATGCCTTTAATGACATAAAGCTTTTATAGTAGTTGAAAGATTGGGAAAAACTCATATGGATACATGTGTTTGAATAAGAAAATTGTCACATGATAGCCAGCAGATTTTCAGAACACCTTACCCAACAAGTGGAGAATATCCACTAATTTTATACAACCCATATAGCATTTTTATAAAAATTAACCAGAAAAAAACTTTTTACCAGATATCAATCCATATCCAGGCAGAGAGCCTTACATTTGACAAAATTGGTGCCATTCAGTTCATAGTTTCTGACTGCAATGTACTGAAGATAAAAAGTGACAGTTTTTATAGAGAAACTCTATAAATATAAGAAAACACATGGTCGTATAAGAGATAACAGTGGGATTGAGAAAACACTTAGAAAGGATAAGGTTAAAACTACACATTAAAATGTGTGACTACAACCAACATGACTTTCCAGGTAAATTGGTAGCCTTGGATTAACATAATGAAAAGAATAAATATTTTTAAATGAGGCTTAAAAAAATAGTTCTTAACATCCAGAAGCTGGCCTGTTGCCATCAGTCTGCTGTCCTCCACTGATCATAAATTATTTCAAAGAACAGAGCAACTCTGTGACTGAGATGGATCAAGACACAAACAAGACCACTCCATAACTGTGTTTGGAGACAGAGAAAACATGACTATTTTCCAAGCCACAGAATACTCTACATATCCCTCTCTTCTAATAATAGGAGTGACAACTACTTCTTAACCAATTACAGATTTAGCCTCTAATTTTCCCCCTTTCTAGAAAGATTTATTCAGACACCCAATCATTGAATTACCCCACTTCCCAACAACAGCTAACTTAGGGCAAAGGTGTACTATATCGATCCTTTTTATTGTAATAAACAATAAACCCCCTTTGTTCCCAGTGGTTTTGGGGTGTTGGGCATTGACAAAAAAAAGGGAGGGCATATAATTAAACATACAAAGCACAACAAAACAGCAAATTAGAGAAAATAACTAAAATAGTTTGAAGGGAATATGTAAGATCAAGAGCCAAAATTGTGCAATATCAGATAAATATAAAATAGTAAGAGGAACAAAAACAGCCAAAAGTTAGTCTTTGAAAAGGCTTAAATAAAGGGCAAACCTTGATAAAGGAACAAAAAGAAATAAGGCACACTTACTAGGGATGGAAAAAATTTGTGTGGTTGGATAATTAGAAAGAGACAGCAGAATGCATTTTGAGCAAATTTAGGTCAATATACGTGAACATTAAAAAGACAAATTCTTTTGTCCAAAATAGGTTTCAAAATAAACACATGACCTCAATAAAACAAGCCTACAACCATCAATACAATTGTATACACGGTTAAAATGTTTCTACAAATAAAACACAATGACCAGGTGGTTTTTACAAATGAGTCCTAATATTCTTCATATTAGATCATTTCATTCTTACACAAACTCTTCCAGAGAATACAAAAATAGAACGTCCTCAATTTATTTTATGTGACAAGTAAGTTGACTTCAAAATTAGGTAAGAAGAGTATGAGAAAATCACAATTACAAGTGCTGATGTCAACATCCTAAGTTAAATATTAACAAACTCAATCCAGCAACATATAGAAATATAACAAATCATTCCCAAGCTGGGTTTATCCTTGCAAATCCAGTTTGGTTTAATCTCATACGAAAAAAAATGTTCACGTATTGTACTACATTAATAGATAAAGGCAAAGAAACATATGGCTATCAAAATAAATGCCAAAATCATTGAATAAATCTCAATCATGCACTGATGATAAAAGGTCATTTCTCAAAATAGGAACAGAAGGGAATACCACACAGTGATAAGGTGAATCCACGGAACACACACAGCATCCGTTTGCTCACTGGTGAAATGCAAAACCACTCCGTTCACATTAGGAACAGTACACGAATATTCACTATGACTACATCCTTTTAGTATTTTATAGGAACCCCAACAAATGCAGTAATGACATTAAAAAGTTATCAGATGTTATAATTACACATTATGCAACCCTCTATGTAAGAATTTTGAAAGAATTTACAGATAAATTATTAAATTAGTAATAAGATTTAATAATGTCCCTGATACAATAGAAATACACAAAAATCAACTGCATTTTCTACGTACTAGTATCAGTTATAATTGATAATTAAAAACAAATATCATCCACTGCAGTAACAATATATAAAGTGCTCAGACTGAAATCTATCAAAAGATTAACAAATGTAGTATTATATAAAGGGGAAATATCTGCTCCTGGATAGGGACTAATTAAGAGGTGAATTCTCCAAAACTGATGTAATGCATTTACAATGAACATGTATTGTTCTTGTTTGTTTTGAGGAACTGTGCAAATTAATTCTAAAATGTATGTGGAGGGAAGAGAAAATAAAAAGACTTGTCTTGCCAGATTCCAGGCTAACAAAAAGACAATAGTAATTAAGACAGTGTGGTATTATCATTGGCATAATCAAATTTGCCAGCAGAATGAAGTAGAGAACTCAGAAATAGACTGACACAAAACATAAGGACCTGATATGTGGTAGGGATGGTAGATGGTGTGGGGAAAAAAAAAAGTGTTTCAATCTTTTCAGTCTAGGACAGCAGTTTACTCATACAGGGGGGAAAAAACCCTCAGAATAAACACAACGATTAATGGAAGCAGATTAAATATTTAAATATAAAAGACAAAATCTGTGGCAAATGGATTCTAAAATGTCCCCCAATTATTACAGCTCCTGGTATCCATGCCATTTTCCTTGGCTGTGGGTGGGACCTGTGATTTGGCTTCTAACCAAACTTGATTAGGTGTTGCTTCCATGAATATGCTACATGGTTAGCACGTTTTCTACTGATTCTCTCTCATCCTGTCTTTTGTGAAGGAAACTGACATATGGATAACCCCATATGGTAAATGACTGAGGATGATCTCCAGCCAACAGCCAGAAAAGCACTGAGGCTTTTAGTCCAACAACCCACAAGAAACTGATTCCTGCCAAGACCAGTGTGGGCTCAGAAGCCAGCTTCCCAGGGTGAGTTCCGAGTGAGAGCCCCATCCTAGGCAGCACCTTGCTTACAGTTCTGTGAGGGGCCCAGAGGGAAGAGCCAGGTAAGCCATGCCTGGATCCCTGACCCACAGCACAGAAACTGAGACAGTAAATGTATTGTTTTAAGCCATTATATTTGTGGTAATATTGTTTTGCAGCAATAGACAATGATTAAACAATAAAAATGCTCAGAATAAAATTGGGGAGAACATTTTCTTTGCTAAGACCCTAGAGAAGATTCTTTAATGCGATGCAAAAAGGGTATAAATAATAAAGGAAAAAACACTGACATTCACTTACATTCATATGAAGAACATCTGGGTATCGAAACACATCCCAAAAGTTATAGTACAAGGATCATGAGACTATAAACAGAAAAGCTATTCACAATACATACAACCAAAAAAGGATTAGTATTATTAATATATGGTAAACTCCAATGAATCAGTAAGAAAAAAGAATGAACTCGATAGAAAAATGGATGGAAGACATGAACATGGATTTCATTTCACAAAAGAAGAAACACAAATGGAAATAGAAAGGAGTACTATATATGTGTGTACCCACACACACACCAGGGTGCATGTGCTATATGTCATTAATAATCAAAGGACTGCAAATAAAACAAAAATGTGACACCTTTCAATCCCAGCTTCATCTTTCCACATCCAGAAAAGAAAAATGTGACTCCTTTTCATTGTATCAGATGGGAAAATATTTAAAAGGTGTGAAAATGTCAAATATAGGAGAAAATATAAAGCAATGGAAACTTTCTTATAATGGCTAGAGTGTCAGTTTGTAAGGATCATCTAAAAAAATACTAACTTGGCATCATCTAAAATAGTTGAGGATGTTCTTTCAGTCCTAAACACACACACACACACACACACACACACACACACACACACACACACACAACCAGGAAGAAGGTTGGAGTGGCAGTGGGGTACAAACAAAACACAGTAACAATATTCTTACACAGGTACATTACAGAACATACACAATTTTTACACGCAATATGTGGATATTTCCCAAGTCGAGCAAGATAGAAGATAAAGTATGGCATGTTTAGATAATGGCATATTCATATAATGGGACACCACCATGTTGGAAATAAGTGGTCTTCACCTACGAACATCAAAATGCAGTAGACACACTAGATTTTGAGGAAAGAAAAGCAAGTTGCATAAAAATATATGTAGTATGTTCCTGTGTACATAATGTTTGAAACCATGCAAAAGTATACATTATGTTGACAAGGACAGACACATATGTGAAGCTATAAAGAAAAGCAAGGAAATAGTAAACAGAAACTCAGGATAGATGTCCCCTCTGGGATCACTGTCCGGAGCAGCAGGAGGTGATAATGGAAGATCAGATGGAAGGCTTAGCCTCTAGCATAAATTGTGGGGTGACAGTCATACTTTTATTCATTCTATTAATTTCTTTTGTATCAAACATGCTTTTTTAAAAAATATTTTATTTATTTGTTCATGAGAGACACAGAGAGAGAGAAAGAGGCAGAGACATAGGCAGGAGGAGAAGCAGGCTCCCCACAGGGAGCCCCATGGAGGACTTGATCCCAGGCCCCGGGTTCAGGCCCTCAGCCAAAGGCAGACGCTCAACTACTAAGCCACCCAGGCGTCCCTCAAATATGCTTTGTACCATAATGTAGAATATGTGAGTATATAAATTCTCACTCTTAAGTTCTACCTCTGGCCACAGAAACTTATCAATATCATAGAGGAGGGCTTCTGACTTCCCAGATAGGGTCAACACAACTTTTCAATGTCAACATATTACTGTAACCTATTTTGAATACCCATAATATCTACAGATTGATAAATGAGGGAAGTAGAGTTGGCATGTGAAAGAATCAGCATAATAGGGGCACCTGGGTGGCTCAATTGGTTAAATGTCTGCCTTCCACTCAGGTCATGATTCCCGGGTCCTGGGATCGAGCCGCACGTGGGGCTCCTTGCTGAGCAAGGAGTCTGCTTTTCCCCCTCCCTACCACTCGTGTGCATTCTCTCTCTCTCTCTCTCTCTCTCTCTCTCCCCAGTTCTCAAATTAAAAGAAAAATATCTAACAAAGGAAAAAAGTATCAACACAGTAGTAATTTCTAATATATATAGTGAACCACACCTAGTAAGAATGTAGAGAGCAATACCAAAGGAAAATCATCAGGGAACAGAATTTCTATCAATGGTATGAATCCTACTACCATAGGTCTGCAGCAGTTGGACCTAATACAGACGGGCATTCTCTTTTGCACTCGTTGTTGGAAGGCTGAGTTTCTGGCTAGAGACTCTGGAATTTACTCTTGGGTCCCCATATATAGCCATGGAAGTCAGAAAGCATCCAAACTTACCAAGAATCAACTATAGGATAAGAAACTGTAGAATTTTACCCCAGCCGAAGAATATGTGCAAATGACATGTGATTTAACAGAAAAATATTCTTCACAGATCAAATAATTGTATATATTGATGCAATCTTTGTTTGGAGTGATATTCCCACATAGTCTTAAATACCTTAGCTTTCATGCTCACTTCATAGTAAGTGGAAAAAATAAAATGGAAAAAATACAATGGTTACAATACAGAAGATCACAATTAAGTATCTGTTGAATGAAGGTATAGGCATAATTTATGCTTAGTGTTACACAAATGGCACTTGTGATATGAAATACGATTTCCATAGCATCACAATTAAATTCAAAATGGTCTCTATCTCAATGAAACTCAGTATATGATATGCTCTGGAAAAAAAAATAGCAAAAGACCTGTGGCTCTGGAAAGGACAAAGACATGGAAGCTGAACTTAGTGAAAGTTGCAATATTTTTTTTTCTTGAAATGGGAACATAAAGCACTGCTTTCAATTAATGCATTAATTGTGTAAGTGTGATTTTATGTTCCTTTGACTCAATTGATATGTTCAATACTATGGTAAAATAGAGGATAATTTAAATACTAAACTAAAACATAAAAGACCAGAGAATTGTAGGTGAGCACAAAGAGGAAACAAGAACTGTTCCATGATTTTTTACATGTGGTTTTATTTAATCCATGCATCGACTCTAGGGAAGTTTTACAGAGGGGTAATGGAGACTTAAAATTAGGAAAGTTGCCCCAAACCTCACAGCTGGTCAGTACTTACTGACCTAGGGTTTGTATTCAGGGTTTTTTTTTTTTTTTCTGATTTCAAAGCTCATATAATATATAAAAGTGTTATATAAATGTAACATTTTAACAGAAATGGCCTCCTTCAAATTAAGCAAGGAAATGGGGGGAAGGTACAAACAGCCTGTGGAAGACCCCCAGGAGTTGTCTGCTAGTTATTCAGAGAAGACCGTAGGCCTCCTATGGTAATGCAACTCTGCCAAGTGGGCACGTGTGTGCACAAGCAGGTACCTTTCTACTCATGTGTTCCACAATGGCATTTTTTTGATAGTTTTATAATTAGTGGTGGGTAGAAGACAAATTGAATGTGTGTGCAATTCAGTTTATTTTAGTAAATCTGGAGAAGTAGCCACAGTTTGTTGGTGCTCAAAAACCCACTGTAAGCATGCTGTGCACTGTTAGCATTGAAATAGCCACAGGGCTCAGGTTAATGTCTGATAATGAAAAGTAAAAACATCTGACTTTTATTAACTGCATTCTTTATATTCACTTATCTTTGTATAGGTATCTTACGAAAGCAATTTCATCACTTGTTGGTCATACTGTGTTTTTTTACACATGAATAAATCTCCCCTTCAAAATTTTGTGAAATATGACATTAAGCATCAGATTAAAAAGGCGTAATATAGTTAAAATAGCCATATTTTAAAATCTCATGTACTTTAAACCAATCTACAATAAAATTAATCTTTTGGAACAAAGTGAAGGAATAAATGAATACATAATTAAAATAATAAATAAATACCAGAAAAAAATGGGCAATATTCTTTCACTGTAGTACAATAAGGGTTTAGAGAATTATTTGCATCATGCAATAAATAAGAAGTGTGTTATGCATTGTGTACAGAGGGGTGCCAGATTTTAATGTAGGGATTGAAGAGTTTCTAGTGCTCACATCCTAAGTGAGGCAAGTGACAGTGACTGGGAGCTCAATCCGTTTCCGAAAAGAAAAAATAATATGAATGAAGAGCAGCGCAGGTGATGCATGTGTGTGAAAGTTTGCTTCCTTAAACCATTAAGAACAATGTGTATATCCCAAAGAGAGAGGAAGATGACATAAGATAAAACATCACATATCTCTGACATTTGAAAACCTGAAACATATAAGTAAAATTCAACATCAGTGTTAGCTAATATACTTCAAAAAATTACATTTGATCTTAAGAGTGCACAATACAAAAATAGTTTAAAGAAATAAAACAGAAAGGGTAATTGTGTATTATGAAAAAGATTTGCTGAAATTATACTTTATCATTTTTCTCAAGGTTTACCTACAATAAGATTTCAAAGACAAAGAAAAAAAAAGATTTCAAAGAGATTTTTAAATAGTTCATAGAATTAACACAATTGTTATAGGAGTATTCTCCTGTGTACCTTACTTTCTGTGCTCTAAGTTCATTCATTCCTTCCTTCCTTCTTTCTCTTTTCCTCCCTTCCTACTGGTATTATTTACATGACGTAGGAAAGACCAGATTTTTTTCCTTAAATGAATTCCACCTGAGTATATTAGATTGTTAGCCACAGATTTGACACAAGTATGCACTCCCATTTGCTGCAGACTCCTTTGAACTAGAAACATTGTGAAATGCAAAATAAGAATGTGTTTCTTTCTAATCCCCACTAGACTGTCAGCGCCACAGGTTTTGTTCACTTTTGCATTCCCAGTATTGATAGCTGTACCTAGCAATGTGGGTCTGGAAGCACTGGGAGAGGAGGAACAGGAAAAGATGCTATTGGCCAGTTGGACTCTGGATGAAGAACATGGTGTTCTCCTTCTTACTGCCATTACTAGAATGATCTGCACACACACACCAGTCAGACCTCATTCACACATTCTTTTCAGAGTGTCTCTTGATACTCACCTACAACCAAATTTCTTTGTTGTGAATAGTGTTGGTTGAGTGAGTGGGAATGGGGAAAGAGCGAGTGCTGGTTTTGTTCTATTGACACTGGTCTTTTGGAAAAGCTACTCATTGATGGGATGTCCTATGACGGCCAGAGCCAAAACCTAATTTAGGAAAAAAAAAAAAAAGTGATGATCTTCATCCAAGTTTACCAGTCATAACTTCCTCTCAGTAAATGACTCCTTTCCTCACAACCACCGTTTCAGAAATAAAGAAACCAGGTCTACTGAAAAACAACTATTTAGTGTCTTTCCTCTGGTGGTCATCACCCCACCATGTTCCCCTTGTCGACTTCTTGGTGAATTCCTATTAGCTGGCATGTTCCCCCTTGTCGACTTCTTGGTGAATTCCTATTAGCTTTGAAGTCTGTAAAGACTGCCAATTCCTCACACAGCAGGAACATAGTCAACTGATTTTTCTGTTTTTCCCTCACACTGATCAGGATCCATAAGATTAAAAAAAAAAAAAAAAAAAAGGATCCAGAAGATAGATACCCAAAAGGTATAGTGAATAAATGAACTGATAAACTGTATATCCACTAAAATTTCCCTTGCAAAAAAACTAGATTTCCTATAGAGATGATAAGGGTTTCAAATTTATTTGTAAAAGAAGTACCATGTAAAGTTGTTGTGAGGATTTTAGGAGACCTAAAATCCTATGGCTCAATGAGGAGCACATCAGAGATCCATTTGCTAAAGACCCTTCTTTAAAAAAATAAAATAAAAAATAAAAAGTTCCATGCCAGTCCTGTGCACCAAACTCAAAATGTCTCAGGTAATCTTTTTCATGAGTAACATATGCAGCATGAAGATCTTACCAATAGCAGCAGGGACAAATGTAGAGCACATGTGCATAGTACAGGGATGCTCTTGCTATTTAGTAACTGGGGTGATGTATAAAGAATGCAATGAGTCAAAGACAGAGACAGAGCTGGGATTAAGCACCATCACTGAAAGGTAAAAGTTTTGTGGCTGAAATTCTGAGGCTGAATTTCAGTATTCAATGTGCCCTGTTTCAAGTCCCTGCCTTCTCAGCTCCACATAAAATCCTCACAGTCACCCAAAGGTCTAAAGAGAGTTATTAGAAAATTATCCCAACCATAGCCAAGTTGCCTTTAGCTTTTCATTTACTAGTAGTGGAGTCTTGTTATACACATAGTTCCAATACGCTAGTTTATGATCTCAGTCTATCTTTTCTTCACTGAATAATTGGGTAAGTGTGAAAAACAAAACAAACACAAAAAATGAAACCCTCTATCGTTTGGAAGCCTTAGCTGAACCTATATTTGGAAACAGAATTAATTAAATATGTACACGTTACTTGAAATAAATGTAACAAAAGCTCATGTAAATTATAGCTCAAGCATCTACAAGTTAGAGAACGTTAGAATCCATTGCTTGACGTTCCTATCATCCTTTGTGCAAAAATTCATTTAGTTCTTAGCATATTATTTAAATTTTTCTGCCAACATGAAGGGAATGACACTGATCAAGTAATGGAAAAAACTGCCTTAGCAGATATTTTATATATATATTAGGCACACTTTAGCCACATTTAAATAAGCAGTAAATAGTCCACATGTTAAATTCCTTGATATCTTCTATATTAGGCATCCTTACCTCTGGAAATGGTATTACATATTGCCTTCTACTTACATTTTTTTCCTAAATTAATCAGTGAATATTTTTCTAATTATCATCAGTTAATCAAGCCAATCAAATGTAGTGATTTTAAAACCATTGCTAATGTCTACTCACACATAATTGGATATGCTTTACATATCAAGAATGGCTAGGATCTTTGATGATGCACCGGAAAGTGCTGATAAACAATGTTAATCAAAAGTATGCAACACTTCCACAAAAGGAAAATGTTTAAGATGCACTGGTGTGGGTGGAGGGCAGCTTCTTCTTTGAATACATTTGCTGAAGGTTTCTTGGAAGTCCTCTGCCATGCCTGGGAGTTTTAACACCCATTCTTGCCAGGTATTTACTAATTCTCTGTTGGTTTAAAAAGACAGCCAACCAAAGGTTTAATATTTGGGGTCTAGTTCTAATATGTATGTGGGCTTGTTTTTGTTTTTAATTTAAAACCTTTATTAACAGGTACTTGCCTAATATGTACATATTCTTATTTGCTTAAAACTTGTGCCACTTTAGGTTTCTATCAATTAAATTTAGGCATACTCATCAATTCATCTTGCTTTTCCTGAAGAGAGTCTCCTACTTCCTATTCTCTCCAGAATTCATTACAGTAAACTCAGTTCTGGATATGGTCTTATTCTTTCATCCGAAGTGAGTAATTTGCATTATTTCTAACTTTTGAGAACCATATATATTATTACCACCGCATTTGTTACTCGTGAGTAAAGTCTTTTTTTTTAATTTCAAGACTGGTGTTTGCTTTAGAAGTGTCACATAGTGACAATCATCCCTTTAATTATTTTCAAGATGGTGAGAATAAAATTAAGTGTGGAGACTTTTTGAATTTTTCTGGATCTAACACCCTAAGGATGCAGGACCTGGATGTTCTGGGCACCGGTCACCTCAGGCATTAGTATAAGGCAAGGGGTCCCAAGCATGAACATTTGCGTGCAGATCCAAAGGCTGGGTCATCCCTCACCCATCACATTCCTCACGTGGGAAATCTGTAAATAGAGGTCTCTTCCAGCAAACTTTCCCTTGGGGTGCAGGTGGGCGAGGACAGTGCCAGGGAGCCTCACCTTAGTGTTGCTGTGTGGGGGTGAAAGGACACACAGTGAAGAACATTTTGGTGAATCTGTCCCTTTCTTTAGCTAGCAATAACATGCCCCCGTATCATTCACACAGCTATTCTTTATTGTTTTCCCCACCTCTCCTCAGATTCCTCCCCATACTCAACCTGGTTCCCTCCTTCCCCGTGGGGGTGTTTCTGCAAAGTTAAAAGGCAGTGGTACGGGTTCTGCACACATTTGTAATTCTTACCTTGAGCAGATCTGCTATTACTGCCAACCCAAAGCCTTATTTGATCTGATTTGAGATCACACATCCTGGGAATTGAAAGCAAACACTGACACTATGCCCAATAATGGAAACAGTGTTCTCATCCATGGAGCAATTTTTACATGGTTGTTGATAACCCTGAGATAGGTAGAATAACCTTCCTTGAGAATAACTGTAGATTCAGGTCTTCAGCTGCCCTCTCAACCTATATTAATACAATATGATTGCATTAATTTTGACATTGTGAAGAGAAAGGGAGAGCAGTGGGAAGGAAGGAGATGTAGGGGAACAGGAGCGGTCTGCATTCATGCTATAGTGGAAGAGAAGTGACAGCCACGTTAGGTTTAGCTGGAATGTAACATATCCACAGCTTTATCACTCTGGAGACACATTTTGACATAACAAACTACTGAGAAAGAACCACTTTTATCTAGGTCAGAATGACAGACTCTCAAGTGTTCGAGAGCTTGAGGAAACTAGTCTGAAACGTCAGGAAGACTGCAATCTGTACAGAGATTTTCATCAGGTCTCGACACTGCGTAATGGTATTTATCCAATGCATTGTAATTACTGCACTGGCTTATAATGGCACGGCATTTTGATTTCAGAGCTTACCAAAATAAAATGAACCACATTTTATGACGACTACATTTATAATAAGATGCAGATGGTAAAGGAAACAGATGCCTCTGACATCATCTCCCATTTGCCTTCAACTTTTGCAGACACTGGCAGTCTGTAAACTCATTCAAAGGGATGCAGGATAAGTCAGGCAGTTTTCCAACTCTGTTTCCAGTCTAAAAAAACACTGGCAGCAGTGGCATTGCTTTCTCTGAGTCATGCAGTGATAATTCCACAAAAAGAAATTTGATTCTAAGTGTCAGGCTTTAATGCAAAATTAATCATCAGGGAAAAAAAATCCCCACCAATGTCGGGACTTCAACAATTAGTAACACGGACTGTTCTGCATGACAGTGACAGAAAGGACATGGTGCGGTGCAAGTGGTGTGATGGGAACAGCTGTAGCTTCAAGGAGGCAAGAAAGAGAAAAGAGAGTTTTAAACATACAGGCAAGTCTAAAATACTCTACCAGCCCTTGGCACCCAGATTGTTCAAAGACTGACTCTTTATTACTTCTAAGTAAAAAACTTTAAGGAGGCTTTTGAGATCACTGTTGCTGACCTCAAAAAAAATGTTCATTCTGTGTTTCCATCTGTATTTTTTCCAGAAGGAATCCTATAGTTCTGATAGGAGCTTTCACCATTTCCCCAGTGATAACACTGAACATTATATACAGTTAAAAAAAAAAATACAAAAAAAAAAAAAAAAAACAACTTTTTTTTTTTTTTTTTGGTGCAAGATAAATGTGTTAGAAGATCCTTTAAAAAAGATAAGGAACTTTTGTAGTCCATCTTGAAAGGAAGAGATGCTTGGGCAAAGCAGCAATTGAAAGGCCTTTAGCAGTGTTTGAGGTTCCAAGATAGATCAGCACAGTTACAGACGAGGGAGACAGCTAGACAAAAACCTGTAAAATCTTCCTACCTCCCCCGACCACCATCACATAACTTTATCTATGCCTCTGTAGTAGGAACGTTTCGGTAGGAAAAAAAAAAAAAAAATTCAGAAACAAAGGCAGGGATAGCGGTGATGTAAAAATAAATCCTGCTAGACCAAATATGGTGCCTATTTTTAAAATAATCTCTGTGCAAGTAACAAACTGAACACACGCGCACACGCACACACACACGCACATAGTACAAGAATAAACAAACTCTCGTTAATTCACATCCACAAACCAGGTTGCGAAGTATTAGTGCAAATCTCTGCTGACCTGCAGCATTTAATCCATAAACTTTGGATATCCTAGACGCTCCATCAGTGTCCAGCAGATGTTCTCAATCAATTTAATTTCATCTCTAGGCAGGTTTTGTTTCCAAACATTAGTATTAGTTGGTGATATCTCCCCTTCGTAGGGAAGATAGAAAAGGTTTGTGGAGGTGGCAAACAGTATTTGGTTTAAACTAGCAGGAGACAAAGGTATTCCAAGAAAGGCAAAAATCCTTTCAGTGGTTTTCTGAGGAAAATGTACAATATCTTCAAACTTGATCAGCTGGTAGCTGGTAGGCAGCAAATCTGTATTTATTCTCAGGGCTGCTGCTGTGTTTGCCAGCCACAAATGAGACAACAGGGAGACTGCGTTTGACTTGGATTTTGATAATTCTTTCCTCAACGATTCATATTCGAAAGCATAACCTGAATTTAAGTTACATTTTCCTTTACCTCCCTCTATTTTAAACAATTTAGCTAAGTGCTCTGGTACATTTTTCAAAGAGTAGAGACTTGGTTTACTACTGTACAGCATTGAATAAATCCATGCCCGAGGGTCCCTTACTATGTACAATGCCCTCATAGAAGCTCCTAAAACTTCCTGAAAAAAATGAAGCTTTAAGGTCCAGCTCCCGCTGCTTAAGCTGAGCACAGGACGTGCGGTTGGGTAATAGACCAGGTGTCTCCTCAAAGCCCTAATATATTCAGCATCTCTATCAAAGGTGCCTTTCATTCTACTTCTTTGTTCTGGCAAAGACTCTCTCCTTTTCGATTTTCTTTTTCTGTCCTTATTGGCTGTAAAATATTGGGCCAGTTTACCCCTACTGGGTTCATGCAGATGGATGTTTTGCAAATGTAGTTTCGTGTCTTGAACTAAGGACTGCAACCAGCCTCGGAGCAAACGGAAATGCACACTGTGGATATCAGATGCCTTCCATTCACAGGCGTCTACAAATGAGTCAATTTCAAATTCAGTTTCAGGAATATCGATGTAGGTTGTAGGAACTCTGATGTAGAGAAAATCACTACTGTTGAAAAAAAGTTGTTTGAGAATTTCAGCCCCCGAACCAGGAAGTGAGGTAATGACGACGTTGGGAAGATCGATGTGGTGCCCTTCGGAAGACAAAGACTTCAGGCTTGCCTCGGCCTCCGTCCTTGCCCATTTTGCACAGATGGGCTGAGTGCAAGTGCTCCACACATCCAGCAGCTCAATAAACCACAAGGCAATAACAAGGATTAGGATCCACCGCATTAGCTTTCTAAAAGAAAGGTAAAACCGCCACTGAAAGGTTAAAATCACCAAGCTAACGCACAAAATCAATCCGACTGCTACATTAAATTTAAATCCAAAGGGGAAAATGACCCTATCATGTCTTATGGGCTTTGCTATTGCTTGAGTGCCCAAACCAAATCGGGTTATCTGGCCCTGGTCAGCCACATTGGCAAAGCCACCAAAACCCAGGTAATTGAACCTTGTCTTCAGGTTATGGTAGTCGGTTACAATGGAAACAACATGTTCAGTATTATTGACATTGAGAGAAATCTGAAGTCCAGAACTGGAACTATCGATAAATCTGCAGCTGGAAACATTGACATATGGCCCATAAAAGACATATGCAATTCTTGTGATTGTGGATTCCATCTGAAATGTGACATTAACAAACTGAGTCCACCGTTTCTTAAATTCAGCAGCTTGCTCTGCCTCTTGTATACTAGCAATGGGACTATTGCCACGATGATCAAACCAGAACATTCTGTAGTGTGCATCCCACACATCCATCATGGCGCCATTGTACCTGTTCATAAACCTATATGGGATGTACTTAAAATCGATGTCCAGATTATGAAAGAAGGCACTGACAGATTTTATTGGGGAATTGTCTTGCCTCTCAACGTGATCAACAACCAGCAACGTTTGAGAATTTAAGAGAAGCAAAGCACGATACACACTTTTCAGCTTCATTGCTGAAGAGTAAGCAGACACCGCTTCCCCACTCACAAATATCATTTCTCCATGTTGAGAGGCAGTAATGACTTCCCCTGCTGCATCACCAGCCTCCTCACCGGTCCACTTGAGCCACTGTGCACATTCTCCCAGTTGACCTTCCCAGGGCTTATTACACTGGCTTGTGGGTGATGGAGCAAACACCAGTACATTGTTAAGGTGGCTCAGCTTGGGTCCATAGAGAGCTTCAGAAACAAATACTTGCCCATTGGGGGCAAAAGTAAATGAGTTCTGATCTGGATGTTCGTGTCCTGGGTTAAAGCTTCTCCACCCATCAATCCAGGAGTATGGCTGAAAGTGAACTATGTCATACACAGCTCGCCCCCCTAGCTTCCCAGATTTAAAAGACACAAATGTATTGGTCTGTGTATTTGGCAACCCAGCTCCATAAGTGACAACACCCCAGTTAGGGAATATGTGCATTTTTGCAGTACCATATTCAGCAGGAGGCTGTGGGGTGAGCTGGGGATCATACCAGATGAATTCAGTGTGAAGAGTACTCCACCTCTGGGCAGTGGAGGGGACCATCGGTCCATCCTTAGGTCGGTGCCTTCTAATTTGCTGAGCTAACCAATTCCCAGCTCCATTCTTTAAGATAAACTTATCCAAAAACACCAACTGGCTCTCTGGACCATAAAACCAATTATAATTGGAATCTGCTATACCCACAGTTCTTTGGAAGCCTGGTAAAAGGGTGGCATAATAGAACCAAAAGTGCATTTTTAACCAGTTATTATCCAAGTTGTTGATATTGAAATGGCGCTGGGCTAGAAAAACATACTGTGTGACTGATTTAGCTGTGTAGCTTCCATAGGCCACACCTTCATCCAGAGAACCATCAACAATGTGATTCAACAGAAACATGGTCTTTTCCATCACATCTACTACAACTTGTTTCCATATATTTGCTTTGGATCCTTTATCTACCCCAGTCACCAAAGCCCCGGTGAGTAATGCTACCATGTTAGTCGCCTGGTGATTATGGAGAAGTTGTTTGCCCCACGAACGGACCTTGGAATACTCATACATCTCCTCAGTAACAGCCCATATTTTTCCCAGGTATTTTTGTCTTCGATGATCATCTAGTAAGTTATATAAAAAGTCAAAGGCGGTGGCAAAACCTGTTAAGGAATGGCCAACCGGAACCTCATCCCCTGGTGCATTCTCAACTAGCCAGTCTTTGTAGCCAACCATCCTGTCCATGTATTCCAAGATAAACTCAAAGGCGACTTTGTCTTCTGGGCTTAACAAACAGTACAATGCTAAAGGAGGCAGATTGTTACCATAAATTTCATTCCACTTGGCAGCAAAATCAGCATGCTTGGGTGGAGGTAGGTAGTATGTGGGGTTGGACAGCATAACTGTTACTGCACTTCTGATAGCTCGAAAGAGATGCAAATGGCTTGTACGAGACTTCTGTCTCATTGCCTGGATTTCTCCAGCATCAAAATATAAACTTGGATGAAGCATACTTTTCTTCAGCTTGTGACTGGGTTTGAAATCTTGCACTTTCTGCGTCTTAAACTGATCTATATCATCTGTGAAAACTGCCCAGTCAGAGTAATTGCTCACAGATTCCTCAAAAGTAGAGAAAGCAAACACCACTAAAGCTAAAAATAAGAAATGTCCTGTAAACATTAACGCCATGATCCATCGGGGAGTTCCCTTCCTTAGGCATACAGGTCAAACACAGTGCTCCGCGTATTTCCCATCTGCCTAGGATAAGACATACATTTAAGGCCTTGATAAAACAGACTGTAAATCATACATGCTGTGAAATCCAGCTGACATTCGGTTCATTCAAAGCAAGCAGGGTTGCCAAAAAGAGAAACTTACAGCATCTATCTGTGTCCCTGACACAGTTCTGCTTCCAATAAAATTTCAAGGAATGTTAAAACCTCTAATGTTTCTGTATCACGCAGCAAACAGTGGTAGAGTCAAATAGACTAGGAATTTGGGATTTACTTCCTTTACATAAATCTAACATGAAGAGTCAAAACACACATTGTTAAAAAAAAAAAAAAAAAAAAAAAGTAAGTACTCCAAAAATCCAAATTAAGAAACCATTCCTAGGATAGGAAACCATGTCTGGTGATAAAAATCACCCACACAGATGATGCTGGTGCCTGCGTCTGCCCAAAGGAGCTGATGAAGCACTGAAATTCTTGAAGTTGACTTGGTCCTTTATCCCCTTTCCACTTTTTACACTTCTGCTTTGACAATTTTTTCTTCTTCCATTTTTGGGAAAAGAGCATCCTCCACAAGTGTTTCAAAGTCCTACTTGATTTCAAAAACTCAAAATCTCTGCCCTCATTGCAAATCTGTCCTGTTCAGGCTTACTTACTCATCATCACCATCCCCCACGATGACCCAGGGAAAAGTATCTTCACGTCGTCCTTTATCAGCTTCATCTGTCTGTACAAGTACAAAAATCTGATCTCTTCAGCCACCTAGGTACTTCTTTTCCAATCACGAAGCAACCACCAACTGGGAAAGAAAACTTCCCCCTTCACCAAGACTGACGGCTCTTTTCTGTTCCTTTCGCATGACACCCCTTTCTGGAGGAAAAAAAAAAAAAAAAAAAGAAAAGAAAAAGAAATTCTCTGAGGCTACAGATACCCTGGGAGCGGACACGAACGGATGACTTACATGCTCTACACTGACAGGTAACAACCCTTCCTGAATACAGTCTAAGTTAGCTCGCGGGGTGCTCTTTCTCCCTCATACTTGCAGATGCACAAGCACAAGCGAGGATAACCAGGGAAGGGGGCGGATGGCCAGCCGCTGCTAGAGGCGACTTTCCCGCAGCACCTGTGCTAGCTGGGGCTCGCTTTACCCACTCAGCGTGTCTTTTTTTTTTTTTTTGATTCAAGCGCAGTTAACACGAAAGACGAGTCCTGCCGTCACTCTGGCTGTTCTGGTCGCAGAGGGCTCAGGGACAAGAGGCAGACGCTGGGAGGGCCGTCGTGGCTTGCGGTCGAGCGGTGAGCTCTGGCGGGATCACAAGGTGCCTCGGGGAGGATCCCGCCGCAGCCTCACCTGGAGCCCGGAGCCCGGAGCCCGGAGCCCGGAGCCCGGAGCCCGGAGCCCGGAGCCCCGCCGTCCATCCCGACCAGAGGCCGCCAGGGGGAGCTGAGACCCCGGCTACGGCGCAGCGTCGTCTCTGCCCGTCCGCGGCTCCGAAGAACCCAACCAAGTTTCAGTCCAGGACAAGTCTCCTCCGTAGGAAACATTAACTAACGCTAGAGTTTCCTGCACCGCCCCGCCTGTTGCATTTTTTTCTTCCTCCCCGTTCGCTTCCTGCGGTCGTGCCGCCCCCATCCCCCGCTCCCCGGCCCCGACCTCCGGCCGCGGTCCGGGGACGAGCGACCCCTCAGCCGCCAGGTCCGCTTACCTTGCGCCGCTGTGGACGGGGTCTCCCGGCAGCGCCGGGCCCCGGTGAGGACGAGGTGGAGAGTTCGAGAAAACTGCTCCGGCCGGGAGCCGGGCCGCGCCGGCCCCCGCAGGGCTCCCCGCGCCCCGCGCTCGGCGCCCCCCGCGCTCCCACCGGCTGCGGCCCCGCGCCGCCCCCCGCCCCGCGCCCCGCGCCCCGCGCCCCGCGCCGCGCGGACACGCCCGCCCTCGGGGACCGCCGGACGCTCCGGGCAGCCCCGCGCCGCGGGACGCAGATCCGCGCGCCACCCGCGCTCTCCCGCGCGCCGAGCCCGGCGGAGCGAGGGCGTCCCCAGGCCGCGATGCCGCCGCGGCCGCCGCTCCTCGGTGCCAGCTCCGGCCGCGCGGCCCGGGGAGGGCGAGAGACGGCGACGCGGGCCGGGGGCGGGGCGGGAGCGGGCCGGGGGCGGGGCCGGGGCGGGGCCTCAGGCCCGGGAAGGACGTGGGCGGGGGAACGCGAGCGATGGGCGGGGCGGGAGCGGGCCGGGGGCGGGGCCGGGGGCGGGGCCTCGGGATAGGGGAGGGGGAGAGACTGCGGCGCGGGCCGGGGGGCGGGGCGGGAGCAGGCCGGGGGCGGGGCCGGGGCGGGGGCGGGGCGGGGCCTCGGGTCCCGGGAGGGGGAGAGAGACTGCGGCGCGGGCCGGGGGCGGGGCCGGGGGCGGGGCTTCGGGTCCCGGGAAGGGGAGAGAGACTGCGGCGCGGGCCGGGGGGGCGGGGCGGGAGAGGGCCAGGGGCGGGCCGGGGGCGGGGCCTCGGGTCCCGGGACGTGGAGAGAGACTGCGACGCGGGCCGGGGGCGGGGCCTCAGGCCTGGGGAGAACGTGGGCGGGGGAACGCGAGGGATGGGCGGGGCGGGGGCGGGGCCAGGGGCGGGGCCTCAGGACCCGGGAGAGGGAGAGAGACCGCGACGCGGGCCGGAGGCGGGGCGGGAGCGAGACGGGGGCGGGGTTTAGGGCCGGGGGGTCTGGAGACAGAGAGAGAGAGACAGAGAGAGAGAGAGAGAGAGAGAGAGAGATGGCGATGGCGACTCCGGCAGCCAGACAGGGGGCGGGGCTGAACGCCCCATCCCTGGATCCTAAAGCGAGTTGAGTTGGTGGGTGTCTCCGGCGAGTTCCGGGCTGCGGTGGGGATCGGACCTCGAGACCGGGAAGTGTAGAAGTGCAGTTGTCTGAAGACCTCGCCCTACTGACTGCCTCCTACTGATCGTCCTCCTTCCCTTTGGTTATCGGGGGAGAGGACTGGCGGGCTGGGGGTGGGAGGGAGACAGGAGTCCCCGGCATGATTACAAATGATGGAAGCGGCGACAGGCGGGATAATGCTGTCGGATGTCAGGTTAGGAGGAGCAGTGGACGAGGAAGAAGGCACGAGAGGCAGCGTGGCTGAGGTCGCTGTCATTTAGAAAGGCAAAATCAATATACCGGATTAATATGAGACTGACTTCAGGAGCACAGATGCTAAAGATCAGAGGAAAACAAAAAGGCTAATCAGTTTTATTGATTGAAATAATTTATCCGGCAGTCTAATATGAGGCGGTGTGGGACAAACAAGGGGAAGGGATCTCTTCCTCATTAAAGAAGCGAAAACGGGAATTCGGTAAAGACCCACAAGCAGGAGACGGTGTGTCTCAGTTACTATGACACCTGCATGCAACTCCACGGTTCAGAAACCCTACAGCAGTTGTGAATCCTGTTGTATCCGACATATGGAATTCCTCACAGATACCTGAGATTGCGCTTCAGCGTGAGCCAACCCAAGGTCTGATCTCCACTACTATAGTAACTTAGGAATCATAGCAACCCAGTAAGATATCAAGCCTCATCAACAAACAAGCCTATCCCCAGTTGGGGATTGGTGATACCTTCATACCCCTCCAATTCCATTCCATTCTGCTAAAATGGACAGGTTCGTCCATTAAAAACTGAGTGCCTTGCTTAGATCATTTCTTTTCTTTTTTTTTAATTTGTATTTATTTATGACAGTCAGATAGAGAGAGAGAGGCAGAGACACAGGCAGAGGGAGAAGCAGGCTCCATGCACCGGGAGCCCGACGTGGGATTCGATCCCGGGTCTCCAGGATCGCGCCCTGGGCCAAAGGCAGGCGCTAAACCGCTGCACCACCCAGGGATCCCAGATCATTTCTTTTTATGACTACATGGTAGACCATTACTAGCAGAAAAAATTTCAAATAATTTATCTTAGATATAAGATATCTCCCTTTTTTTCCCTGTGGGTCCTCTGCCCAGTAACAACCCCAGTGACCAGTTGCGATTTTTCTGACTACTGAAGTTCTTTTATCATCCTCGTCTCTGCTCAGATGCTTAAATTCCTCTAAAAATACCTCTTAGGTTTTCAAGTTAGAATGAATTACTCCAGCACTTTATGATTTGTATCTATATCCAGCCCTTAGGTCCTTTGTTTTGTGCTTACTCCTGTACTATAGTCAAAGTTCCTTCAGGTCATTAGCAGTCTCTCAATCCCCTCTGTAAGTTCTGCATCTGTGTTTGAAATGAGTTGTACCTTTAACAGTTGGGCTCCCATAGAGCAGGGTCACAGAGGTTCATTCTGAAACAAGGGCTCTCCTCTGAACCCCAAAGACAGAACTTCCTGCAAATGTCTGGACTGTCCCTTCTGTGACCCAGAGTGGCTTCCAGCCTCCTTAATGGGAGAGAGTAGAGCTCAGGGAAAGAGGAACCCAAATGCAGAGATTCCTGTAATTTTTTTTTTCCAAAAGAGAGCTTTGGAAGCTGTCTAGGAATTAATGTTAGTAAATACAGTGAGTAAATATGCAGACCACTTCTCAGAACAAAACATGTGGATGGGAGTTCTTTCATTCTCTAGATCCAGAGTTCTTCATGATGCTAGGGCAAAGTGAATCATGGAGAATTATTATGATCTCTAACGTCTGCCAGGCCAATATCTTAACTCCCATCCAATTTTTTTTTCAGATTTATCCTCATCAGTATGATCATTTTCATTTTACCTATGAACGAATCAGGTACAGACATGGTGGTCTTTCAGTTTTACCCCATGCACCTGCACTGAAGCAAGGTACATCTAACTTCTCAGTATTTTCAGGTTAGCTTTCAGGCTAATTCACTTTGAACAGGCATCATCTCTCAGTTGTGAGTGTGTTGAAATAAATAAGAACTATAGCTAAACAATTCAGATCATTGGCAGAAAGGGTGGTAGGTAAATGGCACTATGAAAAATAAATAGAGTCTTGTTTCCTGTGAACTAAAAATGGATAGCTCCTATTATTGCTTCTTCCACACATGAAGATGGTACAAAGTTAGTTAATTATAAATAATGCATCCAACCATAGAAGGGATGAGCTATATGTTACTTTATTGCACGTTAAAAATCTTTATGAGTGTGGCAAGAGACACATATGCCAACAGCTGCTAAATTCAGAATCCTGGAGCAGTATCTTATTTTAATGTAAGTGGAGAATAGTACAGTCTATCACTCCGGGAATTTCCCACTATATAAAATGTTCTTAAATCTACATGAGCTTTTGCTTGTGATTTCAAAGAATTTATGAAAATTTGTTTTCTTTATTTGAATATCTTCCAGCCCTATCCCCAGCCAC